CCTCTCGGGCCCTCTCAGGCCCTCTCAGGTCATCTCAGGTCCTCTCGGGCCCTCTCGGGCCCTCTCAGGTCCTCTCAGGCTCTCTCAGGTCATCTCAGGTCATCTCAGGTCCTCTCAGGCCCTCTCGGGCCCTCTCGGGCCCTCTCAGGCTCTCTCGGGTCCTATCAGGCCCTCTCAGGTCATCTCAGGTCATCTCAGGTCTTCTCAGGCCCTCTCGGGCCCTCTCGGGCCCTCTCAGGTCCTCTCAGGCTCTCTCGGGTCCTATCAGGCCCTCTCAGGCCCTCTCGGGCCCTCTCAGGTCCTCTCAGGCTCTCTCGGGTCCTATCAGGTCCTCTCAGGTCCTCTCAGGCCCTCTCAGGCCCTCTCAGGTCCTCTCAGGTCCTCTCAGGCTCTCTCAGGCCCTCTCAGGTCCTATCAGGTCCTCTCAGGTCCTCTCAGGCTCTCTCGGGCCCTCTCAGGTCCTATCAGGTCCTCTCAGGTCCTCTCAGGTCCTCTCAGGCCCTCTCGGGCCCTCTCAGGTCATCTCAGGTCCTATCAGGCCCTCTCAGGTCATCTCAGGTCATCTCAGGTCCTCTCAGGCCCTCTCGGGCCCTCTCAGGTCCTCTCAGGCTCTCTCGGGTCCTATCAGGCCCTCTCAGGTCATCTCAGGTCCTATCAGGCCCTCTCAGGTCCTCTCGGGCCCTCTCAGGGCCTCTCGGGCCCTCTCAGGTCCTCTCAGGCTCTCTCGGGTCCTATCAGGCCCTCTCAGGTCATCTCAGGTCATCTCAGGTCCTCTCGGGCCCTCTCAGGTCCTCTCAGGCTCTCTCGGGTCCTATCAGGCCCTCTCAGGTCCTCTCAGGTCCTCTCAGGTCCTCTCGGGTCCTCTCGGGTCCTATCAGGCCCTCTCAGGTCCTCTCAGGTCCTCTCAGGCTCTCTCGGGTCCTATCAGGCCCTCTCAGGTCCTCTCAGGTCCTCTCAGGTCCTCTCAGGTCCTCTCAGGCCCTCTCGGGTCCTCTCAGGTCATCTCAGGTCCTATCAGGCCCTCTCAGGTCCTCTCAGGTCCTCTCAGGCCCTCTCGGGTCCTCTCAGGTCATCTCAGGTCCTATCAGGCCCTCTCAGGTCCTCTCAGGTCATCTCGGGCCCTCTCAGGCCCTATCAGGGCCTCTGATTTGGCTTTTTATCCTGTTCCCTTTGGAGGTTTTGCTCTTTTACAAAGTAAGACTTACTGAGTAAGACGTACTGATGGCACCGTCTGGACACGGGACGTTTGAACCTGGGACTGTGAGGACACGTCTTTCTGCTGTTTTTCAGTGCTGTCATCGTTTTGTCTGTTATGAAGGCGGAGCTCCTTTTCCGCCTCTAAAATCTGTGGACACATTTCTTTCTTGGTATTTCTGCCTGAATGGATCAGCTTGATTGAATGGAGCTTTAGTTTTTTAGGACGTCCCCTCTCGGGGGTTCTGGTGTTGTTGATGTGAGACTGTGTTTGCAGTTTCAGAGGAGCTGAGCTTTGATGTCAGCGAAGCAGCAGAGGGAGTCGTTCTGACACGCTGCCAGATGTTTGGATGTGTTCGCTCTCAGGATAACGAGGAAAGTGGAACCACTTTGTTGTCCCCAGATACACAGAAGCTCTCTGGAAA